TATTTCTCAGGGAGACCTTAAGACTTGGCACATGACAGGTAGTTAATAAATACTCATTAAATAATCATATGCATGGAACCTATCATAGGTATTCACATATTTATGAATTTTTTTGAAACACACTTGTAATTTTGTTAAATTCAAGCAATGTTTACTAGGATTTCTTAATAAAAAGCTCAATCTGGAATAATTTTCTCAAATTGAATAAATCTTTAAAATACAATGTCAGAGCTAGAATTTCCAGAAAACATATAGGGTAGGCAAAGATTCTTAGAGGGCACATAATAGCCACAGACCAGGAGAAAATACTTGAAAAGTATGTATTTGGTAAAGTATTATATCCAGGCTATATAAGGAACTCTGACTACTCAATAAGACAAATGACTTTGTTTTAAAATGGGCAAATTTGAACAGATACTAGATAAGATGGTAAATAAGCACAAGAAAGAACAGTTAGTATTAGTACTCATTTGGGAAATGCAAATTCAGATTTTTACAATTTTATTTTATTTTATTTTTTTTTTTTTTTTTGAGACGGAGTCTGGCTCTGTCACCCAGACTGGAGTGCTGTGGCATGATCTCAGCCCACTGCACCCTCCTCCTCCTGAGCTCAAACCATCCTCCTGCCTCAAGTAGCTGCGACTACAGACACACACCATCACGCCTGGCTAACTTATTTTTATTTTTGTTGTTTATTTTTTTGGTAGAGATGGGGTTTTGTTATGTTGCCCAGGCTGGTCTCAAGCGGTCCTCCCTCCTCAACCTTTTCAAAGTGCTATTACTATTGGCATGAGCCAACGTGCTGGCCTATTTTTATGTATTTATTTTGACACAGGGTCTTGCTCTGTCTCCCAGGTTGGAGTGTAGTGATGCAATCATGGCTCACTGCAGTCTTGACCTTCTGGGCTCAAGCAATCCTCCCACCTCAGCCTGCTGAGTAGCTGGGACTACAGGGGTGTACCACCACACCTGGCTCATTTTTGTATTTTTTGTAGAGACGGGTTTTGCCAAGTTGCCCAGGCTGGTCTGGGCTCAAGTGACCTACCCTACTCAGCCTCCCAAAATGCTGGGATTATAGGTGTGAGCCACTGCGCCCAGTCAGAATTCAAATTATAATGAGAAATGCCACTTACACACTCACTAGAATATTTAGAATTAAAGATTTTAACCATACTAATTGTTGGTGAATTGGAAAATAGTTTCTTGTTACATTAAATGTACATACAACATTACCATCCAACCCAGGAATCCTAATACTAGATATTTGTCTAAGAGGAAAGAAAACATACATTCCCTTGTGTTTAACTGCTTTTAGCAGCTGTGTTCGTAATACCTATAAATCACAAATACCCAGAAGTTCATCAGTGGGTAATTGGATGTTCATTATGATGGAATACTCAGCAATAGTAAGGAGTAAACTACTGATTATATGCAACAAGTTGGATAAATCTCTGAAATATTAGCATTATGTCACATGGAAGATGTCAGACACTACATACATGAAGTTCTAGAAAAGTCAAAACTAGGCCGGGCGCGGTGGCTCAAGCCTGTAATCCCAGCACTTTGGGAGGCCGAGACGGGCGGATCACGAGGTCAGGAGATCGAGACCATCCTGGCTAACACGGTGAAACCCCGTCTCTACTAAAAATACAAAAAACTAGCCGGGCGAGGTGGCGGGCGCCTGTAGTCCCAGCTACTCCGGAGGCTGAGGCAGGAGAATGGCGCAAACCCGGGAGGCGGAGCTTGCAGTGAGCTGAGATCCGGCCACTGCACTCCAGCCCGGGCTACAGAGCAAGACTCCGTCTCAAAAAAAAAAAAAGAAAAGTCAAAACTATAGCGACAGAAACCAAACCAGTGGTTGCCAGGGTGAGGGTAGAGAATTGACCACAGAAGAGGTGTAGAGCAATAGTTTGTGGAGGTGAGAATGTTTTTTATATATATATATCTCTCTCTCTCCACAAAGAGATACCACTTCACATCCACTGAGATGGCTATAGGTAAAAAGACAGACATGTTGGTGAGGATGTGGAAGAACTGGAACCTGTCATGTTCCTGGTGGGAATATGAAATGGTGACACTGCATTGGAAGACAGTTTGGTAGTTCCTCAGAAAGTTAAACATGGAGTTAACCATATGACCTAGTTGTTCCACTCAAGTGTAGACTCAAGAAAAATAAAAACATGTTTATGCAAAACCTGTACATAAATGTTTGTAGCAACATTATTCATAATATCCCCCAAAAATGGAATTAACCTAAATGTCCATCAGCTGATGAATGGATAAATAAATTTTGGCCGGGCGCAGGGGCTCATGTCTGTAATCCCAGAACTTTGGGAGGCCAAAGCAGGCGAGTCACCTGAGGTCAGGAGTTCGAGATCAGGCTGGCCAACTTGGCAAAACCCCGTCTCTACTAAAGATACAAAAATTAGCTGGGTATGGTGGTGGGCACCTGTAATCCCAGCTACTCGGGAGGCTGAGGCGGGAGAATCACTTGAACCTGGGAGGCAGAGGTTGCAGTGAGCCGAGATCATGCCACTGCACTTTAGCCTGGGCGACAGAGCAAGACTCTGTCTCAAGGGGAAAAAAAAAAAGAATCTTAATTCCGTATACTGGAATATTATTTGGAAATTTATTTAAATGATGCTACACTTGATTCATGCTACAGTGTGGATGAATGTCGAGAACATTATGCTAATTGAGAGGAGTCAGTCACAAAGGATAACAGTTGTTTGTTAGTCTGTTCTCATGCTACTGATAAAGTCATACCCGAGACTGGGTAATTTATAAAGGAAAGAGGTTTTAATGAATTTGCAGTTCCACATGGTTGGGGAGGCCTCACAATCATGACAGAAGACGAAGCAAGAGCAAAGGGATATCTTACATGGTGACAGGCAAGAGAGTTTGTGCAGGGGAACTCCCCTTTATAAAACCATCAGATCTCATGAGATTTATTCAGTACCACAAGAACAATATAGAGGAAACTGCCCCCATGTTCAATTATCTGGCCCTGCCCTTGGCATGTGGGGCTTATTACAGTTAAAAGTGAGATTTGAGTGGGGACACAGCCAAACCCTATCAAATTGTATGATTTCATTAATATGAAATGTTCAGAATAGGCAAGTGTATAGGAGAGAAAATAGATTGGTAAATGCCTAGGGCTGGAGGGACTAATGGTGAATGAGTTCCTGCTAACAGGTAAGGGGTTTGACTTAGGATAGTGATGAGATGTTCTATAATTAGGTAGTACATCCCTGTGAATATAGTAAAAACCATTAAGTTGTACATTTTAATTCAGTGAATTGTGTGGTATATTATACATTAAGTTAATGTTTATACACATATACACCAATTTAGTTTTTTTTAATGTTATCAGATTAACTGAAGATAATGAATATTAAAATAATTGTTGTGATGTAAGAGGAGAAAGGAAAGGATGTGCTAAACTTAGTTTAAACAGCCATTATGGAGAACAGTGGAGGATCCTCAAAAAAACTAAATACAACTACCATATGGTCCAGCAATCCCACTACTAGGTATACATCCAAAATAAATAAAATAAGTTTATCAAAGGGATATCCGTACACCCATTATTATTGCAGCATTATTGACAATAGTCAAGATTTGGAATCACCCTGTGTCCACCAAGGAATGAATGGGTAAAGAAAATATGGTACATAGATAAATGGAATACTATTCGGCCATAAAAAAAGAATGAAATGCTGTCATTTGCAGCAATGTGGATGGCATTGGAGGACATTATGTTAAGTGAAATGAGCCAAGACCAGGAAGTTAAATACCACATGTTCTCACTGGTAGGTGGAAGCTAAAAAAAAAAGTAGATCTCTCAGAAGCAAAAAATAGAACAGGAAACAAAAGGCTGGAAAAGGTAGTGGGAAGGGAGGATTAGAGAGAGATACAAAATTACAGAAAAGGATATAAAATTACAGCTAGATGGGTGGATGAATTCTAGTGTTCCATAGCATAGTAGGCTGACTATAGTTAATAATAACATAGTTTCAGATAGCTAGGACAATATTGAGTGTTCCCAACACAAAGAAATGATAAGTGTTTAAGATAATGGATATGCAAATTATCCTGATCTTATCACCATGCATTATATGTCTGGAAACATCACTCTGTACTCCATGAATATTTATAATTTTTGTTAATTTTTTATAAGTGAAAATAATTTCATCTGTATCCTATACATATTTGGTACTTTTAAAAAATGAATAATTTGACCTATACATAACACCAAAGGAAAAAGAATTAACCAAAATCTTGTTTTGAACATTTGTAATAATAATTGAATGTTCTCATAATAGGGTAATATCTTCTTCAGTTTACTGATCTCAAAACCAGAAATCACATTTGTTTTTACTTAAAATAGTACCATGTTGCTACATCTGATTTTTATTGACCAGATAATATTCTATTTCCTGGTGGTATTTTGAAAAAACTAACTCCCTAATTTTTGACAATTAAATTGTTTCTAATTAATGAATCTTTATAAATATGGCATGATGCTTCTGATGACTTGCTTCTTTGCTATAAGTTTATAGAAATAGTTACTGATTCAGTAAATTACCAGCAATTAATTCATTTCTCCATGTATATGTTTATTATTTGTATTTTTTTGAGTCAATTGTCATTGCCCACTTAACTACTATATTATTGTTTTTCTTAAAACTGAAAATGATCTGTGTATATATGGAAATGAATATTAAATTACTTATGTGAATATATTACCAGTGTGTTGTGTCATTTAATTTTAGTTTTGTTATTTTTTAGAAGAGTTACTCTTAATACATTAAGGTTTTTAGGGGGATAAACTAAGTAGAAGTTTAGTTATCAAGTAGATGACAAGGTTGAACTTTTTTCCCTCACAGAAACTCCTTTGAATTTAATATTTTAAGGTTCTATATATGTTCAGTCACAGTGTGATTAGGATATAGTTACTACTCTAGTGGTTACTGATTTATATTTTCTTCTTTTTATAGTGCACTAGTGAAATTGATGAATAAGTCAATAGAGGGGACAGCAGATGATGAAGAGGAGGGTGTAAGTCCAGATACAGCTATCCGTTCAGGACTTGAACTTCTTAAGGTATTTTTGAAACAGTTTTGTTGCCATGTATTTCTGTGGGGTCATAATTTGCCTTCCCTTCAGGATATGCAAGAGTCAGGCTTATTTCATAGGAAACTATTTGAAAGATTTAAAACCTGTGTTGGAAATCAGATTACGTAAAAGTAATATTTTTATGTTATAATAATGTAATTATTTTACATTATAAATTAATATTTGTTTCACTGTTTATCATTTTCATGCCTTCTATGCTTGGTAGTGATTACTGAACAATCTATTCTTAGTAATAGCAAGGTGTGACTTAAGACTTAGTGGACAGGGTATGTGACTAAACCTAGGGGAGGGAATATCATCATTAAAGGGAATATTTCTTGGTATATTTGTGGGATTCTTGGGAGACTGGCATGAATAGGAAAAAGGGGTGTTTTGAGGAATAATGGGAGACAAGGTGGTTCCAGATTGTCGAGTGCCACTGGGTAAGAAAGGTACTGTCACGAGCTTTTAACCTGGCTTACAACCAGCTGCAGCCCTTGATAGAACTTTCATTGGATTGAGTAAAAGAAGGGAAGAAATTGAAGGCAAAGAGACGTGATACCACTGTGACTTACAGGAGAAGAGACAAACCAGTGCAATGGATGTTACATAGAAAAAGAATTTTGGGCTCGTATTCCGAGGTTCTTAAATGTAATTTCATTGAGCTGGGCTCAATGCCTGTAATCCCAGCACTTTGGGAGGCCGAGGCGGGCAGATCACGACGTCAAGACCATCCTGGCCAACATGGGGAAACCCTGTCTCTACTAATAAAGTACAAAAATTAGCTAGACATGGTGGCACACGCCTGTAGTCACAGCTACTTCGGAGGCTGAGGCAGGAAAATCGCTTGAACCCAGGAGATGGAGGTTGCAGTGAGCCGAGATCATGCCACTGCGCTCCAGCTTGGCGTCAGAGTGAGACTCTGTCTCAAAAGAAAAAAAAAAATCATTTCATTGACAGAATTGATATGATGCCTCCTGAATAAGATTTTAATTAATTTTTTTAGTAATTGAGTTGTATTTTTAAGTTCTCTTAAAAGTGAAACCACCTTTAAGGTAACATTTTTTAATAGATTGGTTTTTATTACATTTTTCTAATTTAATTCTCCAGTTTTCTATAAATAATCAAAACCACATAAGTAAATATTATCACTGCAAACCTTGCCAAATGAGACAGTAGCACTTAATGACCATTAAATAAGTGCTTATTGAAAAATTAATGAAGACCACCTGCTCATTCCCCTTTCTCCCTGCTTCTCTATTTGCCTCCCTAATCTTGATACTACACTAACTGAATTGTTATGAATTGTATGGAAGGTTAACTCTTTAGATATGTATCTAACTTGCTAAAAATTATTTAAAAACAGGCTCGTGCTCATGTCAGAAGGGAATAATTATGTATTGTAATCATAATTAAAAGTTCACAATAGTGGCTTCTTTGTTGATAATTATGATGAGTGATTTCACTTGAAATATTTTCTTGCCTTGGTACAGTGGTTTATGCCTGTAATCCCAGCCAAGGCAGGAAGATCTCTTGAGCACAGGAGTTGGAGACCAGCCTGGGCAACATAGCTAGACCTCATCTCTACAAAAAAAAAAAAAACGCCGGGCGCGGTGGCTCACGCCTGTAATCCCAGCACTTTGGGAGGCTGAGGCGGGCAGATCACGGGGTCAGGAGATCGAGACCATCCTGGCAAACACGGTGAAACTCCGTCTCTATTAAAAGTACAAAAAATAAGCCGGGCATGGTGGCGGGCACCTGTAGTCCCAGCTACTCAGGAGGCTGAGGCAGGAGAATGGCGTGAAACCAGGAGGCGGAGCTTGCAGTGAGCTGAGATCAGGCCACTGCACTCTAGCCTGGGTGACAGAGTGAGACTCTGTCTCAAAAAAAAAAAAAAAAAATTTTTTTTAGCTGGGCTGGTGCACCTGTAATCTCAGCTCAGGAGGCTGAGACCACAGTGAGCTGTGATGTTCCACCGCACTCTAGCCTAGGTGACAGAGTGAAATCCTGTCACAAAAAAAGAAAAGAAAAAAAAAATTCTCATAGATTATCTTTTTGCCAGTCAAAGAAAGCTCTGAGTTAGCATTTTGTTTACATTACACAAAGATTGAGTCATTACGTATGGAGGTTTTATTTCAAGTAAGCATTCCTTCATCTAAATACAATGTATTTATAAACTGATAATAGTTATTAATATTGTAAATCACATTCCATAAAAAAGGAGTTTTGTGTTCTAAGTAGCAGAGTAGACTAAGAGGTGAAGAAGAAAATAGGACAAAGGCTGTCTGTCAGTTGTGTGAAGGAATAACTGGGAGCTACTACACCGCACAGTATTTCTGATAATGTCTAATTAGCCATAACTAACTGCAAGGGTGGCTAGGAGATGTATCTCTATTCTGTGTAGCTAGCATATTTACCCCAGAATTTATGTATGTATGTATTTATTTATTTATCACGGAAAGTATTTCTTTTTTAATGGATTAAAACAATTGTCTGTACTTCTAAAGCTGTATCTATTTTTTCAGGTTCTGTCTTTCACACATCCTACCTCGTTCCACTCTGCAGAGACATATGAGTCCTTGTTACAGTGCCTAAGAATGGAAGATGACAAGGTGGCAGAAGCTGCTATTCAAATTTTTAGAAATACAGGTCACAAAATAGAAACAGACCTTCCCCAGATACGATCGTGAGTACATTTTTTGTCCCATGGTAAATACAAAAGTTTCTAAGTGTGGGAACCATAAAATCATTGTTTTCCTTTTGTATAGGAAGTTAGGAGAGAGGAAAGACAATTTTGATATAAAAGCTACTTTTCTGTGTCCTCCTCTGTTTTGTCGTTCCCTTGTCTTACACCCCTCTCCCACCATTAGAATGTAGGCCGCAGAGTAAACTGAAACTACATGTTTGTTTATAACAAAATCATTTTAAGATATTAAGAATCAAAGGTTATCCCATAATTTAGTGTTTTATTTATGATTAATATCTTTCTAATCCATGTATATTCATCTTTTTTTCTGTAAATGGGTTATAAATTCAATAACTGTCACACTGCTATCCTACCAAAAAATGGGGCAAATAGTTCACTTTGGCATCTTAAAAATGTTAAGGTGAAACTTGTGCTGAGATGTTATATTTAGACTTAAAATATGCAGAAGACATCTTCTGGAGGAAAAAATACATTGCAAATGGCTGTTGAATCATATGTATTCATTCTCAGCATTGTCTGGCTAATAAAAAAAGTTACCACAATCAGTCCCTGCCCTCGAGGAGTTTGTAGACTAGAAATAATAAACTTTATATGTATACATTATTAAAAAAAGATTATTAACACAATAGGATAGATTTTGATAAGTTTTTCAAGGGAGGAAATCCTATACATTTTTTTAAGGCAAAGGATCTATTCTTAGAGAAATTCTACCCCAAAGGAAGCAATTGAAAATGGGTATAGGTAGAAGAGGTAACTTTGGACGTGAGGAATAAAATACCTCATTCATAAGATTAATGGAGGAGAAAGGAAATAATCACTGGAAAGAAGAAAAGCACAACACTAAAGACCTCAATAACATCTCTGATGGCATCACTGGATTATACTGCTCTATAAAAAAACAAGAAGAAAGGTTAAAGTTGACTTTCTGTATTATTTTATTTGGCTAATAATAATTAATAATACGTTTAACAACAGTTTGATTGAAACTGTCTTCCTTTGTCATTCACCAGTGTTATTTTATAAGAGATCATAGTCTGGTAAGTGGAATGGTGAAAGACTAAACAGATAGGAGAGAGGAAAGACATCTTCCATGTAGAAGTGTGGTCAAGACTCAGTCAATGAAGTCTATTTGGGCATGGACATCCCTATCTCATAATTCCAAAGTCCATAGAGACAAACTTCAGGCATATTTATAAATGTCACATCAGACTTACACCAACTAGCATATGTTCCCATTTTTGGTTAAGGTGCATGGCCTGGAGCCTGCAGTATAGCTTTTCATATCTAGCCTTCCATTATCATAAGAGGGCATTGTCACCCCTGCATTTGATACCACTAACTTTATAATCTATGAAACAGGCTCTTCTCTAATAACATTAAATATATGACAAATATCTTTCCTTCTATGTTTGTTTCGCTTTATCAATTTTCTTCTGATTATAAAAATACTTAATGTTCATTGTAGCAAACTGAAACTAGAAAAGATGTAACAAAATAGTCACCATTAACATTTGATATGTATACTTTCTGTGAATGTTCATCTACTAGATGTGTTTGTCTATTTTTTAAAAGTTCATATATGCACACTGTTTTCTTCATTCTACCTAATGTTTTTTCATGTCATCAACATTTAATTTTTGGAGAGTGTTACATGTTTTTCCATCTCATCCTGAAAGAAGACTGTTTTAGATTACTTTTCATTGTCAGTGTAGAGGGTAAGTGTATGGATTTTGAAAGAGGTGCTAATTTTCAAATCCCAACTCCCAGTTTCCTAACTTCGTCATCTTAGGAGGCTTAAATAACATCTTTGTGCTTTAATTTTCTCATCTGTGTAATGACTATAATAGTCGTCTTTGGGTGGATGTGAACATTAGTTGAATTAATCCATGCGGAAATACCTGGAATGGTGCCTGGCACATAATAGTTAGATATTTATATTGCCATCCTAGTGATATATATGTAGCTGTATCTTTGCATACTTTCTTTCACTAGTATTATTTCAGCTGCTTAATACAACTTGGCCTTTTGCTACTCTCTTTCCATAGCTACTTTGAAATAACTGAAGGAGATTATAAAAGGGAATTGAAAAATTAGCAATCTCCTACTTAGAAGGTAAATGTAAAAATATGTCATGGGATAAGCTTTAGATTATGAATTAAGGGTTACTTGTTATTTTGCATATTTGTCAGGTAGCTTTAAAATGAAAATTGTCTCCTGAAGTAGGCTTTTTCTTGAGGCATTGTATTTCTTGGTTTATACTTGGGGGCAGAGAGGGAGCTTTTTTACAAGTTTCTTTAGATCAGATAATTTTTAAGAGAGCCTTCTCTACCAGCATCCATCCATATAGGGGACGTGGAAGTCAACCAAAGGAATAATTGTTTGTTTATGGGTTTAAGAAAAAAAAAAAAAAAACTATATTATTTTTTGCAGGACCTTAATTCCCATTTTACATCAAAAAGCAAAGAGGGGTACTCCACACCAAGCAAAACAGGCTGTGCACTGTATACACGCCATATTCACAAATAAAGAAGTCCAGCTTGCACAGATTTTTGAGGTATATCTAATATATAGGTTGTGTTTATATTGGTCTTTATTTTTTAAGCTCTATAGTTTGATGAAGATGGAAGCTAGATTTTTTAAAGCTGTTTATATGAAGTCCTACCCTAGAATATAAATTCCTTGTGAGCAAGGATTCTGTCTATTTTATATGGTACTGCATTCCCAGCCTGTGGATCAGATTATATGTTCAAACACCTCATATTGAAGGGTTTTGTGGTTTTTGTTTGTTTTTTAGTTTGTTTTTGAGATAAGGTTTCACTTTCTCACCAGTGCTGGAGTACAGTGATGCGATCTCTGCTCACTGCAGCCCCGAACTCCCAGTTTCAAGCATTCCTCCTGCTTCAGCCTCCCAAGTAGCTGAGAGTACAGGCACTGCCACCATGCCCAGCTATTTTTGGATTTTTTATAGAGATGGGGTTTTGCCATGTTGGCCAGCCTGGTCTCAAACTCCTAGACTGAAGCAATCCACCCACTTCATGCTTTCAAAGTGCGAGGATTTACACACATGAGCCAGCACACCTGGCCTTACGTGTTTATGTTAGAACATTTTACTTAATTTTAGCCTTATGGGTTCAGTGGTGCATTTATCCTCAGAAAGTATTAGTAGATAATTTTGAACAATCCAGTTTTAAGTACTTAAGAGCCCTACCTAACAATCCTGTTTCCCTTTCTTTACTTATAATGACTGGCCTCATTTTACTATTAGAAATGTATTCCTATTATCATAAATTGGAGGTAGTGTGACCAAAGCCCAGTGAACTCTTACTTTGTATGATTTAAGGTCATTTAAAATGTTCCCACAGGATAAGAAATCCACCAATATAGCAAATCCATTGTTGTAAATTAGTCAAAAATAATGCTGATTTCGTGAAGCAAAAATTTTTTTTAACTTCTTTTGAGTTTTATTTTTTATGTTTTTTCTACATTCTTTCAGTCTTGCTAAATTTTAGTAGGTGAATTAAGTACCAGGTGTCTTAGGTTGAAGTTAGTTATGATCATATTAGAGAAGACTGGTTTGGGCATGATAAATTCAGGAGGACTCAGGAAAATGTACTGTTTCAGTAGAGTGTCTAGATATTTATCAAACACATTGGTAATTTTGTCTGTTTTATTTTTATAGCCACTCAGTAGGAGTCTGAATGCTGATGTGCCAGAACAACTTATAATCCCATTAGTTTCATTGGACCACATTTCTATGTTAGCACCAGATCAGTTTGCTTCCCCAATGAAATCTGTAGTAGCAAATTTTATTGTGAAAGATCTGCTAATGAATGACAGGGTAAGTTTCTCATTTAATTAAATTGAGAATCATGAGACTAAGACTGTTTACATCTTCATCACAGAAACACTTCTGTTTCTATGTAATTCTCTTTTTCTTTTAAATTATTCTATATTGGTTCTACTTATTATTTAAATTCCAAACTACTTCCTTATTTCATGGTAGCTATTACTACTAGAATTTCACACTTAAGAAACAAAAATTAGAACATGGGATTGGTGAATCATGAAAGTTAAATATAAGTAAAAGCTATTTTCCTGACCCTCAAAAGACAGTTTATCATTTTCTGGAATGTTAGAATTGGGTTTATTTTGTTTTTTGTTTTGAAGACAGAGTCTTGCTCTGTACCCCAGGCTGGAATGCAGTGGCTTGCTGCAACCTTGGCCTCCTCTCATTCCTCAGCCTCCCAAGTAGCTGGGATTACAGGTGCCTGTCACCACGCCTGACTAATTTTTGCATTTTAAGTAGAGACGGGGTTTCACCATGTTGGCCAGGCTTGTATTGAACTCCTGACCTCAGGTGATCTGTCCGCCTTGGCCTCCCAAAGTGCTGGGATTACAGGTATGAGCCACCATGCCAGGTTAAAATTTGTTTTATCAGACATTGTTAGAAATCTAAGTGGATTAGCCAGGCGTGGTAACGGGCGCCTGTAATCCTAGCTACTCAGGAGGCTGAGGCAGGAGAATCACTTGAACCGAGGAGGGAGAGGTTGCAGTGAGCCAAGATTGCACAGTTGCACTCCAGCCTGGGAAACAAGAGGGAAACTCTATCTCCAAAAAAAAAAAAAGTAAGTGGACTTGAATTTGACTAATTTTTAAGATAATACACTGTACTTTTGGCACTAGATTTATTGATGTCTGTGTGCTCTGATTTATTACCTTTGTCTAGGTTGGAATGTATAGATTGAAAAGACTCCCCAAATGATTTTGGAAACACACCTTAATTAAGAATCACTGCTAGCAGGGCGTGGTGGGTCACGCCTGTAATCCCAGCACTTTGGGAGGCTGAGGCGGGTGGATCACCTGAGGTCAGGACTTCAAGACCAGCCTGGCCAACATGGTGAAACCCCGTCTTTACTAAAAATACAAAAAAAGTAGCCGGGCGTGATGGCGAGTGCCTGTAATCCCAGCTATTCGGCAGGCTGAGACAGGAGAATCGCTTGAACCCAGGAGGCAGAGGTTGCAGTGGGCCAAGATTGCGCCATGGCACTCCAGTCTAGGCAACAAGAGCAAGACTCTGTCTCAAAAAAATAAATAAAAGAATCACTGCTTTACCAAATGGATCTGAATTAAATCTGTTGTTATTGAATAAAGACACAGATATGCTGGATCATTACGGATAACTTTCAATTAAGTGTTAATTTGACTTATCCAAAGTTCCTAACTCTCACATGGTTCGGTAGTCTTGAGGCCTCAATATCAGGAACTTAAAGACACCAGCTAGTATACTTTCTGTATTTGTACCACCTCCCACTTTTGAATGCAGCAGATAAGAAGAGAAGAACATAGCCTAAGTCTCATTTCCCACACCACATATCCTTGCTGCTGTTTTTACTTTTGGTAGATGTGGTTGTCAACAGAGGTGAAATTTAAGATACCTCTTAAATGATGATTGTTGATAGATTGTGTTTTCAGATGGTCTTTTTTATTGTGGTAAACTATACATAATATCAAATTTGCCATTTTTAAGTGTTAACGTAATAGCCACATTGTTATCTAATCATCACCATCCCATCCAGCTCCAGAATTTTTTCATCACCCCAAACAGAAACTCTGTACCCATTAAGCAACAACTCTCCATTGCCCTCTGTTCTACCTTCTGACTCTATGACTACCTGTTCTAGGTATCTCTTATATGATATTTGTCCTTTTGTTTCTGTTATATTTCACTTAGCATGTCCTCAGGGCTCTTCCATGTTGTAATATGTATCAGAATGTTGTTCCTTTTGTGGCTAAATAGTGTTCTATTATATGTATATTTTTGTTTGTATATATCCCACATTTTGTTTGTCGATTGATAGATACTTGGGTTGCTTCTACGTGTTGGCTATTGTGAATAATGCCGATATAAACGTTTATGTTCCTGTTCTCCCATTTCTTGGGTATATATCTAGGAATAACATTATTGGGTTACATGTCATTTTCCTTTTTAAAAAAACAATAGCCGGCCGGGCGCAGTGGCTCACGCCTGTAATCCCAGCACTTTGGGAGGCCGAGGTGGGAGGATTAAGAAGTCAGGAGATCAAGGCCATCCTCGCTAACACGGTGAAACCCCATCTCTACTAAAAATACAAAAAATTATCCGGGCATGGTGGCGGGTACCTGTAGTCCCAGCTACTCTGGAGGCTGAGGCAGGAGAATGGCGTGAATCCGGGTGGCAGAGCTTGCAGTGAGCCTAGATCATGCCACTGCACTCCAGCCTGGGCGACAGAGCAAGGCTCCATCTCAAAAAAGAAAAACAAAAGCAGTAGCCATACTAGTGCATAAGAAGTGGTATCTCATTGTGATTTTGATTTGCATTTTCCTATAATGATGTCAAGGATATTTTTTTCTGTGCTTATTGACTACCCTGTATATCTTCTTTGGAGAGCTATTAAATTCCTTCACCTACCCCACTCTTCTTTTTTTTTTGAGACATGGTCTCACTCTGTCACCCAGGCTAGAGTGCACTAGTGCAACCTTGGCTCACCGCAACCTCCGCCTCACAGACTCGAGCAATACCTCCTGCCTCAGCCTCCTGAGAAGTTGGGTCTACCAGCACATGCCACCATGCCTGGCTAATTTCTGTAGTTTTTTATAGAGACAGGGTTTCGCCATGTTGCCCATGCTGCCTTCACCCGCTTTTAGTTGGGTTGCTTCTTGTTGAGTTTTAAGAGTTGTTTACATTTTCTGTGTATTAAACCATTGTCAGATATTTACCAGATCCAAGATCATGAAGATTTCTCCCTATGTCATCTTTTCAGAGTTTTATGGTTTTAGCTATTAAATTGAGATATTTGATTCATTCTGAGTTAATTCTTATATATATTAACAATCTAGTTTCTTTTTTTGTTTGTGTGTTTGTTTCTTGTGGATATCCAGGGGTTTTATGTTTTGTTTTTGTGTTTTTGAGACGGAGTCTCACTCTGTAGCCCAGTCTGGAGTGAAGTGGTGCAATCTTGGCTCACTGCAACCTGTCTCTTAGGTTCAAGCAGTTCTGCAACCTCAGCCTCCTGGATAGCTGAGACTACAGGCATGCACCACCATGCCCAGCTAATTTTTTGTATTTTTAGTGGAGGCGGGGTTTTGCCATGTTGGGCAGGCTGGTCTCAAACTCCTGACCTCAAGTGATCCACCTGCCTCAGCCCCCCATAGTGCTGGGATTACAGGCACTGACCCTCTGCACCTGGCTGAATATCCAGTTTTTCTAGCACCATTTGTTGAAGAGACTGTTCTTTCCCTAAAGGTGGTCTTGGCACCCTTGTCAAAAATGAATTACTATATAAGCAAGGGTTTTCTGGGTTCTTTATTCCATTGGTCTGTATGTCTGTCCTTGCCAGTACCAGCCACACTGTTTTGATTACTGTAGGTTTTATAGTAAGTTTCAAAACTGGGAAGTATGAGTCTTCTAACTTTGTCCTTTTACAAGCTCTGGTTGGTGATGTTCCCATCGGTTTCTCAGAGGCTGTGTTGATCAACATGAAAAACTTAATCAGCAAAAAGTTAAATTTTTTTCTTCATGCTAATAGCTAAATTTATTCAATTGTCTATAGTCAACAGGTGAAAAGAATGGAAAACTGTGGTCTCCAGATGAAGAGGTTTCCCCTGAAGTACTAGCAAAGGTAAATTTGTTTAGGCCTTGAGAATCTTCATGTTTAAAAAAGGAACATTTGTAGTTATCTTCCTCACCTTTTAAACATTTAATAAACAGAGATGGGATCTTGTTGTGTTGCTCAGTTTGGTCTTGAACTCCTGGGCTCAGCTGATCCTCCCACTTCAACCCCCATGAGCTTGAGCCATTGTGCCTAGCCGAGAGCCTTTTTTGTTTAACAAGCTTTTCTTAAGGAGGTGCTTTATTTTAAAATTTATTTTTAAATTCTTTGCAAAAAATTGTTTCTTGAAGACATTGTAGTTGTCATTGTTTATTATATGTCAGTATCTTCTGCCTGCTAAAGCAATCTCAATGAGGCTGTTTTTTAGAGAGGTTGTTTATAGAATGACGGTGCTCAGAGGCATCTTAAATCCAGCCTCACCACCACTATCTACAAGCATACGAATATTAACTTGGCAAAGATAGATAATTGTCAAGCTGGTCACTGTGGCAGATTTGGGATTTAAAATAAGATTATATCATCTTTGATAATCTGTTTCACTTTTTGTTGCTTCATAGTCATCATATATTCTATCAATTCATTTTTCCTGGTTGTCAATAAATACAATAAATAACACTTTGGTTTTTTTTCGCACCTATAATCCCAGCACTTTGGGAGGCAGAGGCACGAGGATCGCTTGAGCCCAGGAGTTCAAGACCAACCTGGGCAGCATAGTGAGCCGTGTCTCTACAAAATATTAAAAATAATTTAGTTGGACTAGGTATGGTGGCTCACGCCTATAATCCCAGCACTTTGGGAGGCTGAGGCGGGCAGATGGCTTGAGATCAGTTCAAGACCAGTCTGGCCAACATGGTGAAACCCCTTGTCTACTAAAAATACAAAAACTAGCCAGGCGTGGTGTTGCACGTCTGTAATTCCAGCTACTTCAGAGGCTGAGGCAGGACAGTCGCTTGAACCTAGGAGGTAGAGGCTGCAGTGAGCCAAGGTTGTGCCACTGCCCTCCAGCCTGGGCGACAGTGAAACTCGGTCTCAAATAATAATAATAATAATTTGGCCAGGTGTGGTGGTGCATGCCTATAGTTCCACCTACGCAAGGAGGAAGCTGAGGCAGAAGGATCGCTTGAGCCCAGGAGGTCAAGGCTACAGTGAGTTGCGATCATGCCAGTACACTCCAGCCTGGGCGACAGAGCAGATAGATGATTGTTACTAAATTTATGGATTTAGTAAATGTAAAGCTCAGTTTAAAAGTGGTGGATTTGGGATTTAAAATAAGATTGTATCATCTTCCTTGATAATCTGTTTCACTTTGTGTTGCTTCATAGTCATCATATATTCTATCAATTCATTTTTCCAGGCTGTCAATAAATAAATAATACCTTGATTTTTTGGCTGGCTCTTTCACGTATATTGGCAACAATCTTTTGACTAGACATTTCTAAGTAATTATGACTACCAATAATTATAGCAATTCCCTTTTTTTGGGGGGTCAGAATGTTAAATGAGACTGACTCAGACTTGATGGTTTCTTCAAAGTAGTCTTTCAATACCACAAAACTATGAAACTCGAAAGTTATTTTCAGTCACTACAATCAGTACAGTTTTTTTGTTTGTTTGTTTGTTTTGTTTTGTTTTGTTTTTTTATGAAACAGTGCTCTGTTACCCAGGCTGGAGGGCAGTGGCACAATCTCGGCTCACTGCAACCTCTGCCTCCCGGGTTCAAGCAATTCTCATGCCTCAGCCTCCTGAGTAGCTGAGACTACAGGCATGTGCCCCCATGCCCGGCTAATTTTTTTTTTTTTTTTTTTTTTAAGTATAGACAGGATTTTTTAGTATATACAGTGTTTCAACATGTTGGCTAGGCTGGTCTCAAATGCCTGACCTCAAGTGATCCACCTGCCTTGGCCTCCCAAAGTGCTGGGATTATAGACGTGAGTCACCACGCCCGGCCTGTATAGTTTAAATTGTTTTTAAAGTATATGTTTTCAAATAGTTTCAAAATCTTGGACAAACGTCTAAGTATGAAAAGCCTAAATTCTGGAACCAGACTTTTGAGCAAGTTATCTATCATAATAATGTGTCTCAATTGCCTTATCTGTTGGGAAAAAAATCTTCCTCATAAGAGTTTTTTGAGAGATTAAGTAAGTTAATACATGTACAGCTCTAAGAAAAGTATCTGGCACTGGTTAAGCACAGAGTAAGTATTAGTTCTTATTGTTACTGTTATTATCCCATAGATTTATTTAATGAAATGTCTGCTGATGGAGATGAATAATCTCATTAATTAATATAGATTAATTTTCCCTTTACTTGGAATTTTAAGTTGCTCTCTTTTTTTAGCATGTTAATATTTTATAGGTACAGGCAATTAAACTTCTGGTAAGGTGGCTGTTGGGTATGAAAAACAACCAGTCTAAATCTGCCAATTCAACCCTTCGGTTATTATCAGCGATGTTGGTTAGTGAGGGTGACCTGACAGAGCAAAAGAGGATCAGGTGAGATTTGTCTTTCTTTCCAGTTTTATTAGTGCTGAAATTTTGGTAGAATTTACATAGGAATTATTTACCTAATGAATACTGAATGGTGTAATTACACCATGTTCTTCAGGGTCAAATCTTATGTACTCATTTAGGGCTTGTCTGTCTGTTAGTATTGTTATTTTAATAGTGCCAATATATTTTTCTTCATTCCTAAAGAAGAGGAACTTTTTCCCGTAAATATGTAATCATAATCACTGTATTGTACTATTACAGTTAGCATCAACATTTAGTTCAATTAAACAAATATTTGTTAAATTTCTGCTCCATAAAACAGTGTGAAAAGCATTGCAGCAAAAATAAGTAGGAAAAGTGCCTGCCTTCAAAGAGCTTCCCTGTATTACAGTGATTAAATAAGCAGACTGACTCAAGTCTCATGAAAGTAATAAAAATTTCAGTGGCAGCCAGGCACGGTGGCCCATGCCTGTAATCCCAGCACTTTGGGAGGCCAAGATGGGCGGATCACGAGGTCAGGAGTTCGAGACCAGCGTGGCCAATATAATGAAACCCCGTCTCTACTAAAAAAAAAATACAAAACTTAGCCAGCGTGGTGGCACATTCTTGTAATCCCAGCTACTAAGGAGGCTGAGGCAGGAGAATTGCTTGAAACCAGAAGGCAGAGGTTGCAGTGAGCTGAGATTGCACCACCACACTCCAGCCTGGGCAACAGGGCGAGAGCCTGTCTTAAAATAAATACATAAATAAAAATTTCAATGGCGACTCGAGAGAGTTTAAGCCTTCTTCTTCTTGTACGAATTCGGGTGTGTACACATGTATGTGCACACAGAGATTGTTTACATTGGTACACATTTTCACTTTTAATCTGTAAAATTGCCATCTCATTTTAAGATGAAAATAGAAGCTCGATTTTTCATGATCCTGGTTTCTTGCAAATTCTTGATTTAGTAGGGGCCAAGATTACCAACATAGATAACTAAAGTATTCTACATATGATGCATTCCTGTTTAAAAATTTGTTTTAGAGGACAGAGGTTTAATCATTCCTTTATGAGGCTGAGCACAGTGTCTTACGTCTGTAATCCCAGAAGTTTGGTAGGCCAAGTCAGACGGATTAATTGAGGTCATGTTGAAACCCTGTCTCTACTAAAAATATAGAAATTTAGCCAGGTGTGGTGGCACATGCCTATAATCCCAGCTACTGGGGAGGCTGAGGTATGAAAATCGCTTGAACCCAGGAGGTTGAGGTTGCAGTGTGCCGAGATCATGTCATTGTACTCCAGCCTTGGCTAGATATGTGATAGTGCTATGCTATTAATTTTTTAAAAAATTATTATAATTAGGAATAGAATCTCACTATGTTATCCAGGCTAGCTGGGCTCAAGCAATCCTCCTGCCTCAGACTCCTGAGTAGTGGGACTATAGGTGTGCACCACCACACCCTATTTTTATCATAGAATAAGCCAAGGGCAGCCTTTTATAACACTGTTTAGAACTGTGTTAGGGATAATGAAAGCTTTAAATTGGAGGTAATTATGTACAGTATATGGCAAAGGCATAATAATAACAAGCTCTTACAAGTTAGTGATACCTAGGCAGGGCCCCCCAGTGGAGAGGAAGATTAGCTATTATCAGTCTACTTTTAAAAGTTTAACATCACTAAATGTAGTCAATACAATTTGAACTTAAGCAGTACCTCTTTTCCTTACAAATCAAAAGAAAAAAAATTTTATAAGCAATAATTCCTCAGTATGATCATGGAAATGGGTTCCTTCATTACTCCTATGAGTATAAATTGGCAGGACTCTTCGGCATTTTTGCATCAAGATCCTCAAAAATGTTATCCTTGACTCTTTATTTTTACACTCATAATTCACGAGTATAAAAGAATCATATGAAAGCATATACACAAGCATGTTCCTGCAGCATTATTTTCCATCACAAAAAATAGGGGAATGTTTAACCATGGAATGAACACCCATTAGACAGATCCTAACTGGATATCATATAATATAGTATTACCTTTTCTAAGCTGCAATTTCCTCATCTTATGGAGTGAAAATTAATTGAGATAAAGCCTATAAAGTGTTTTTCACACCTGCCTGGCATGGAGTAAGCACTCACATAATAGCTATTAATTTTGATTCCTGAATGAATGCCATAGAAACCATTTGAGGCTCCCTCATTGTTACCAGTGCTCATTGTAACAATCCTGTTGTCCAAGAGTGCCAGGTTTTTTCCTCTGTGTGCTTAGCAACAGTCCCAGTGGGTTCTGGCTAGCTTTCTGCATTTCGTGAAGTGGTCACAATAAATATAAAAGCCATGCTGTGTTCCACATAGAAGTCGAAGTAGAAAGACTCCCATGCCATCCCATTCATTGCCACATTTTACCACATAAGTAATAAAAATTCATACTGTGGGGGTGGGAGTGCCAAGGCTTCATAGGTTCCATTTGAAAACTGTATTCTGCAAAAGGAGGTCAGCCCCAGAAACTCAGACAGACACTGGCTCTTATATTTCATATCCTTTAGGTATTTGTCTGATACTTCTTCCCTCTTAACTGCAGCCCTGCCATTTCAGCATGCATAAAGCTAGATTCCTGTTACACGTTTATATGCAGGAAATAGATTTTAAATTATGATAGATGATTTTTTTTTTAATTCTTTGTGGTTTTTTAAATCAAGTTTTCTTTTTTTTTTCTTTCCTTTTTTTTTTTTTTGAGACAGAGTCTCACTCTGTCGCCAGGGTGGAGTGCAGTGGTGTGAACTTGGCTCACCAACCTCCACCTCTCAGGTTCAAGCAATTCTCCTGCCTGAGCCTTCCGAGTAGCTGGGAGTACAAGTGCGCACCACCATGCTCAGCTAATATTTTTGTATTTTTAGTAGAGACAGGGTTTCACCATGTTGGCCAGGATGGTCTCAATCTCTTGACCTCGTGATCTGCCAACCTCGGCCTCCCAATGTGCTGGGATTACAAGTGTGAGCCACCGTGCCCAGCCACTTTAATCAAGTTTTTGACAATCAATATGTATTTCTCTTAAAATGAGGGATACTCCTGATGTAAAGAGTTTTTCCTAACCTTGCAATTACTGTGGTTGCAAGAATAAGCAGAGTTGTTGGGATGTGGTAAAGTATCTAACTTAGAGCTGGACTAGAAATGAAGGCAGGTAAATTTGTAATCAGAAAGTCACAATGATTTGATTTGATTATGAAAGTCACAATCCCTTGTGTTAAGTTCGTGGACTCAAAGTAGCTTTCCCATATTTGTACTTCATTTTAAGCATAAATTATCCTCTAAGGACCCTACATTCAAAAAGGGACAAAAGCATTTTTATGAATGATAATGGTTATAGGAAATGTTTATTTCTTTTTTGTTTGTTTATAGTAAATCTGATATGTCTCGCTTGCGATTAGCTGCTGGTAGTGCCATAATGAAGCTTGCTCAGGAACCTTGTTACCATGAAATTATTACCCCAGAACAGTTTCAGCTCTGTGCACTTGTTATTAATGTAAGTAACAATCTTATTTTTGTCAATTACTTGTCTTCAAAGTTGAGTACATTACTTTTCTATGGATACAAATCCATTTATTATGTGAATATATGCACAAAAGGTACTGCTATTATTACCTGTTTAACTGTCTTCCAATTATTACATTATTTATTCCCCCATATAATTATTTTTTTTAATTGAAGAAAACATTAAGAATACTTAAACTGCTGGGTTTTTGTTTAATAAATGGTTGCCAATTTAAGTTTTTCTGTGCTGCTGTAGGATGAATGTTACCAAGTAAGGCAGATATTTGCTCAGAAGCTACATAAGGCACTTGTGAAGTTACTGCTCCCATTGGAGTATATGGCGATCTTTGCCTTGTGTGCCAAAGATCCTGTGAAGGAGAGAAGAGCACACGCACGACAGTGTTTACTGAAAAATATCAGTATACGCAGGGAATACATTAAACAGAACCCTATGGCTACTGGTAAGTAACTCAAAGTTCTCTGTGCGCAAATATATTTTGTCAGTGTATCAATTTTTAGTTTTTTTTTCTTGTCATGTGTTTCTATTATAGTTTATAATAAAACTGGGAGTTTTATAGAATACTGTCATTGTAGTTATTATGTACTTAAAAACTGAACTTCTCAGTCCTGTTTATGCTGCATTAACTCCTGGCAAACTGCATTTTTCCTACAGGATCAGGAGTGTGGTTTAATTTGAACATATTGCTCGGATGTCAGACTAAATAATTTTTTCCTAGCTTTGCCAGGGACCTGTTGTTTAATGGGTTTACTATCTGATACCTTTGACTTTAATATCTTTCAAAAGTGAAATATAACTCCATACCAGGTACCAGAAAAAGAAATTGAAAAGTGAAGTGCAAAGTATTTTAGTATCCAGGTATCATGTTGCGTCTAATTTAGAAATAACTGAGGGAAAAAAATGGAAACTTAAGTGGTTAGAACTCAGTCCACTAAGACATTTTATAAAGATTGTTTTTAATAATGTTTTTACTTCAGAGAAATTATTATCACTGTTGCCTGAATATGTAGTTCCATACATGATTCACCTTCTGGCCCATGATCCAGATTTCACAAGATCACAAGATGTTGATCAGCTTCGTGATATCAAAGAGTAAGTCTTGTTTTTCGAGAACTCTATAAATTATGTTTAGTTTTCAATAAATGGTAAATTATGTATTGTTATGTTTATATTTCCATTAGAATTAAAATCTCCTTATGGTTTTATTCATTTATTATAAATTGCCAGTTTCATCTTTCAAAAATTTTCCCATCTGCCAGGTTTTGGTTGTTCATTTTCTGTTTGTTTGCAGCTAGTCAAGCTATCCAAGTCTTTGAAATAGGTTAGTTTGGTTATCTTAGATATTATATTTGATTTTTACTATTTATTTTGAGAGAGTTTGAATATGGGAAGAGTACTGAAGTGTGTGAAATAATTGGAGTTGGAACTGAAAACAGTGGAGCATATTTTTTATTCTTTGTTCTGTCTAGCATGCAAGAGCTTCAAGTATCTTTAAAAATTTTTTTGGATACATAATAATTGTACACATTTATGAGGTACACACAATATTTTGGTATGTGCATATAGTGTGTAATGAGAAAATCAGAATAATTAAGATACCCATCCCCTGTTCATCCCAGGCAATCGGAGCTGCAATGAGCTATGATTAAGCCACTGCACCCCAGCCTGGGTGATAGAGTGAGACCCTGTCTCTAAAAAATAATAGTAACAATAAAATTGTTAAAATACAAATAAGTTATTGTTAACTATAGTCACCCTACCGTGGTATCAAATGTCAGAACTTATTCCTTGTATCTAAGTGTATTTTTGTACCCATTAACTAGTCTCTTTTTTTTTTCCCCCGAGATAGAGTCTTGCTCTGTCACACAGGCTGGAGTGCAGTGGCACGATTTTGGCTCACTGCAACATCTGCCTCCCTGGTTCAAGTGATTCTCCCATCTCAGACTCCTGAGTAGCTGGGACTGCAGGTGCTTGCCACGACTCCTGGCTAATTCTTTTTTTGTATTTTTGTTAGAGATGGGGTTTTACCATGTTGGCCAGGCTGGTCTCCTGACCTCATGATCCGCCTGCCTCAGCCTCCCCAAGTGCTGGAATTACAGACATGAGCCACTGCACCTGGCACCCAGTCTCTCTTTATTCCCCTTTCCTTCTACACTTGACAGCCTCTGGTAACCACCCTTCTACTCTCTGCCTGTATAAGATCTTCATTTTTATTTTATTTTACGTTTTTAATGAGACAAGTTCTTATTCTACCCCCAGGCTGAAGTGCAGTGGTGTGATCAGGGCCTATTGTACCCTGACCTCCTGGGCTAAAATAGTCTTCCACCTCAGCTTCCCGAGTAGCTGGGACTACATGTGCCACCATGACCAGCTAATTTTTATGTTTTTTGTAGAGATGGGGTCTCACTGTGTTGCCCAGGCTGGTCTCAAATTCCTGGACTCACGTGACCCTCCTGCCTCAGCCTCCCAAAGTGCTAGGATCTTCACTCTTTTAGTGCTCACAGAAAAAGTGCCTTCACTCTTTTAGTGCTCACATATGAGCGAGACCATGTGATATTTGTCTCTGCTTGGCTTATTTCACTGAGCATAATGACTTCAAGCTCTGTTCATGTTGCTGAAAATGACAGAATTTCATTCTTTTTTATGGATGAATAGTTTTTCATTGTGTGTGTATATATCCTACATTTTCCTAATTAATTTATCTGTTGAGGGACACTTAGGTTGATGCCATATCTTGGCTGTTGTGAATAGTGCTACAGTAAATATAGAAATGCATCTGTCTCTTAGATGTACTAATTTCCTTTCTTTTTTTTTTTTTTTTTTTTTTGAGACAAGTGTCACTCTGTTGCCCAGGCTGGAGTGCAGTGGCATTAATTTAACTCACTGTAACCTCTGCCTCCCACACTTCAAGCTATTCTCATGCCTCAGCCTCCCAAGGAGTTAGTACTACAGACGTGTACCACCACGACCAGCTAATTTTTGTATTTTTAGTAGAGACCGGTTTTCACCATATTGCCCAGGGTGGTCTCCAACTACTGGCCTCAAGTGATCCACCCACCTGGGCCTCCCAAAGTGCTGGGATTACAGGCATGAGCCACCGTGCCCGGCCAAGATATACTGAATGCCTTTATTTTGGATATATATCCAGCAGTGGGATTGCTGGATGATATGGCAGATCTGTTTTTGGGTTTTTTTGGTTTGGTTTTTTTTTTTTGAGAAACCTTCTTTTTTTTTCTCTCTCTCTCTTTATAGAGATAGGATCTTGTTATGTTGCCCAGGCAGGTCCTGAACTCCTGGGCTCAAGCAGTCCTCCCACCTTGGCCTCCCAAACTTCTGGGATTACAGGCATGAGCCACCACACCCAGCCTGGGAAACCATCATACTGTTCTCCATAGTAGCTTCAACATGGTGTCCCCACTGACTGGAGCACGAAATTATTCTGAACCTGGGAGGCGGAGGTTGCAGTGAGCCAAGGTCGCACCGTTGCACTCCAGCCTGGACAATAACAGCAAAACTCTGTCTTAAAAAAAAAATTTACTGCATTTCCTTCCATGACTTATAGTTTTAGCTCTTTAGTTAAGATCTTTGATCCATTGTAAATTCATTGCTGCAGGTGGTATAAGGTAAACATTCAGATTCATTATTTTGTTTGTGAATATCCAATTTTTCCAGTACCATTTGTTGAAGAGACTGTTCTTTCCCCAAAGATTGGTTTTGGCACCCTTGTCAAATATCAACTGACCGTATATGCAAGTGCTTACTTGAACGAAAGTTCAAGCACAATCAGTGCCCTGCTCTTTGTCCCCAGTTCATCCCAGGTGGTTCTGCCCATCTAGCACTCCCAGTGGTTCTCATGGGACAGGACTGGAGTGGGCTTCCCAGACTTGTGGAGAGCTCAGAGTTCCACCTCCAGTTCCCTCCTCTCATCTCAGAATTTCTAGGGAAATTGTGTGCAAGTAGTGTTCTGACAGTTTAGGAGATCAGGGTGGTGCAGTCTGAAATTGAACTGTTTCTCTTACCAGTGGTGGCATCACTCAGTTCTTCTCCTGCTTCTGGTGCATTAAAGATGGTATTCTTGTCTTAAATATTTTCTAGATGTTCTACCATCTTGCTGAAATCATTTCCATTTTTGTGTATCTTTAAACAGAATTTTTAAATTACCATGTAATTTGAAGTTCCAAATAATGTTTTTCATGGCGGGTGTGGTGACTCTCACCCGTATTCCCAGTTACTTGGAAGGCTGAGGTGGAAGGCTTGCTCGAGCCCAGGAGTGGAAGGCTGCAGTGAGCTCTGATCCAGCTACTACATTCTATCCTGGGTGACAGGAAACCCGGTCTGTTTTTTTTTGTTTGTTTAAGGTTTTCAAAATGTAGTTACATAACTTTATGGAAACTAGTAAGTTATTGTGTCAGAAACAATTTTTTTGTTAATTGTGTTAAATATATATAGCAAAATTTGCCGTTTTTAACCACTTTTAATCATACAGTTAAGTGGAGAAATGTCCAGTGACTTTGCCCTTTTATATTAATTGGGTTATCTTTTTGTTACTGAGTTGTAAGAGTTCTTTTTGTATTTGGGTATTTATCTCTTATCGGGTATATCATTTACATTCTTGATAGTATCCTTTGATGCACGAAAGTTTTCACTTTAATGAAGCCCAGTGTATTTTTTCTTTTGTTGCCTATACAGTACTTTTGTTATCATAATTAAGGAGCCAAATCCAAGTTTATAAACATTTTTTACTGTGTTTTTGGCCAGGCACAGTGGCTCACGCCTGTAATCCCAGCATTTTGGAAGACCAAGGCGGGTGGATCACCTGAGGTCAGGAGTTCGAGACCAGTCTGACCAACATGGTGAAACCCTGTCTCTACTAAAAATATAAGAAATTAGCTGTGTGTTGTGGCGAGCACCTGTAATCCCAGCTACTCGGGAGGCTGAGGCAGGAGAATCGCTTGAACCTGGGAGGCGGAGGTTGCAGTGAGCCAAGGTCGCACCGTTGCACTCCAGCCTGGACAATAACAGCAAAACTCTGTCTTAAAAAAAAAATTTTACTGCATTTCCTTCCATGACTTATAGTTTTAGCTCTTTAGTTAAGATCTTTGATCCATTGTAAATTCATTGCTGCAGGTGGTATAAGGTAAACATTCAGATTCATTATTTTGTTTGTGAATATCCAATTTTTCCAGTACCATTTGTTGAAGAGACTGTTCTTTCCCCAAAGATTGGTTTTGGCACCCTTGTCAAATATCAACTGACCGTATATGCAAGTGCTTACTTCTGGGCTCTCAATCCTATTTAATTTGTATGTCTGGCCTTATACCATGTAACTGTCATTACTGTAACTTTATAATAAGTTTCAGAGTTGGAAAGGCTGATTTCTGTTCTTTTTCAAGATTGTTTTGGCTTTTGATATTTCCTGTGAATTTTAGGTTGCATTTATCTATATTTCTAAAAAATTCCATTGTTCTTTGATAGGAATGGCATTGAATCTGTATATTGCCTTGGGTGATACTATCTTACCAGTATTAAGTCTTCTAATCTGTTAGCACAGGATGTCTTTGCATTTATTTAGGCCTTTAATTTTTTATTTTAATTTTATTTTATTTTATCTTATTTATTTTTCCAGCACTGTTCTGTAGTTTTCTAGGTATGGGTCTTTGTCTTCCTTGGTTAAATTTATTTCTAAACATTTTATTCTTGGCCAGGCATGGTGGCTCACACCTGTAATCCCAGCAATTTTGGGAGGCCGGAGCGGGAGAATTGCTTGGGCCTGGGAATTTGAGACCAGCCTGGCAGCATAGTGAGACTCTGTCTCTTTTTAAAAAATTAAACAGAAAAAAGAAAATGGGTTATTGATGTCTCCAGTTCTTATTAAGGCACTCTATTTCTCCCTTCAATTGTGTTGATTTTTTTGCTTCATAGATTTGGGGACTTTCTTGTTGTTTTGTATATATTTATTACAGTCACATTTTCTTGCTAGATTGACCTTTTATCAGTATAGTCCTTGTAGTCTCTTGTTAGCTTTTTGACTTTAAATCTGTTTTATCTAATAATAAAATAGCCACTTATTTCTACTGTTACATGAAATATCT